AGCAAAAAACTTGGTCCTCAACGCAAAATGTTTCGCTTTTTGAGTTGAGAATTCCCGACTGTCAACAATGATAAGAAAACTAAAAATGGCTTAAAGGAAAAACATTCAACAGTGATAGGATTACTATCTATTAAGAAAATATAATTATTTAACTAAGAACGAAAATTTTTGCGTTGAGGACATTTTTTTTATTCTATGTTTTAACATTAAAATTATATACATATACTCGTACATACCCGCACAGCAATTTAGTTGCATATGTCAATAGTGTTTTGATTTTATTTAAAAGCGTGGCTTTACTATTGAATTTAGCATCTTAAAGCACTTATAAGGTCCGTGTGGTGACGGATTAAGAATACAGAGGAACACCACCCCTATTCATCCTATGGGTGTCGTAAGAGGCGGCTAAGGGAGCAAACTACGCAGGACAACAGCACTGCAGAGAGAAGGAAAACTTGACACAAACCCCATAAGAAACCGTCTGGCCAGCCTATAGTAGGCCTTAACCTCCTTTCTAAGGAGAGGCTTATGTTCAGCAGTGGACTATTAAAGGCTGTTGATGTGTGATGAAAGAACTTATTTTTTCTAAGTGACATACGAACAGGCAGAAGACCCAAGTTCTTTAAACTGAAAACACACAAGTGTGCAGGGCCTTAAAAATCTATATTTATATATATTGTATTTAACAAAATCGCCAAAGGAGGAATGTACATTTTGTGAATACTTAGAGTCGATAAGCATGTTGAGGTTGGTTTGGTTGAGGTAAATAAGAATTAGGTGAATCAGCTACAGTAAACTATATATAAAGATAGTTCAAGCTATGTTGGTTAAAGAAATATATCTAAAAAACCGCATGCCTGCCTGATGATAAATTCTGGACTGGGATTTTATCCTTTCATAAAACCAGTTGCCATTTAAGTAGTTTTCCAAAAAGAAGATTTGGATACTATACTATCCAAAGAAATACAGATACTGTTAAATTTTTCTAAGGTCAGATTCAGATTCTGAACGTTGAAGGAATTTTCTTAGTCATGGTATCAATGGACAATTCGTAGCAAAAATATATAATATACATGTAACATAATTTTTATGCTTTTTTGATGGTAGAATTGCTTTCGGTGGAATAACATTTCACGTTTCAGTTACAGTTTGAATCAAAGCAGTACTATGATTTTTAACTCAATTGTTTTAATTATTACTGTACATTTTCATCATCCATTCACTAGCCCCTAATAGTTCACTGCTGGACACAAAACTTTTCTTAGAAAGGAGGTTTTGGCCTACTGTACCACGCGGGCCAGACGTTTTACCGAACATTGCTAGAAAATAATTTAACTAATAGATCAAACTAAAGCAAATTTTAATCTACTTTAAGAAGGGAGGGTCTTAACACTTGATTGCAAGAGAAATAAAAAGGGCGATGAGAACAATGTCAAAATACTAAAAATAAAATCCATTACAATTAAGACAAACAGATAGGTGATAAATTTAAACTATTGAAAAAAAAAACATGTAGCTGTTCCTTGTACAACTCAAACTTCAACCGACAACAATCTATTTAAAATCCTGTTTTTGGGTTTAATACACCATAAAACGTAAATTTTGCATGTTAACAGTTCAATTATTGCCTGGGCTATGCAGCGGTTCAAGTCACATTTCATTTTGATATCGCGCTCGATTTTTTAAACAAATAGGTCAAGTACGGACAGCGAATTCCAATTTAGGACTTTGGCGATCGAAGAATTTGCTTGCAATATTAAGAACAAACTAATCGACGACTCATGACACTTAACTCAATAATAATAATAATAAATAAATGAAATGTATGCTGTTTCACATAAAGCTCTCAAAAATTGGGATTTATATAGGAGTGTAACATGATGGTGGTGTGTTATATGATTGAAATATATTTCTTTACGAAAACCTTTAAGTGAATTATCTATTTAGTATCTTCTTGATCTTCCTTCTTTACTCTATTTATTTCTTTCTTTTAGGTAAGAATGTCGTTCGTATAGAATAAAATAGAATATTCTTCATTGTACACCAATTACAGTGAGTTGGTTAAAGATTACAGACGCATAAGTACAATGGGCGGCCTTATTGCTAATAGCAATCTCTTACAGGCAGCCTTTGGACAAATCGACAGTAGATATGAAGAAACAGTGGGTAGTCTAGGTGTATTGAAGCTAACCTAGTGTAAAAATAAATAAATATACATTATATAATTCAAACACATACATATCGTACACATATACATATATATACATTCGTGTATTGATTTTCTTCTCATAATTGTTTTATACTCCTCTGGAAAACTAGATATGATGCTTTTGAAAAAACACATAATTCCAGGTACAGACTTTCTGAAATAATTTTCAGTAGTTTAAAAGAGTATGGTCCAAAATCCATCTGAAATTGTTTAGTAAGCGACCGGTTTGTTCTGAGACGTGAGAGTGAACCCATAGCCAACGGTACGATTAAAAAAAAAAACGTATCTGCAGGCACCATGTTAAAGAATTTCACTTGCACTTTTGCTGAGATCGAGTTTAACTCTATTTTAAGACAACGTTACTTGGAGTTAGTTTTTATTCAAAATCATATTAGACGGTGTTAAAGGAGCAAAATAAATAATTCAAAAAATATTATTTTAACTGACAATTAGAGAAAGTGGGTAGTTTAATTTCTCATTTTTAGGCGATTTTATTTCACCAATTATTGTCATTTTCTTCTCATCTGATATTATAAATATGCATGTGAATTTTTTAAGCTCCTAGGTCTTAAAGCTAGACCACGAATCGGCATGAGATTTTGCCTACAAATTTTCTAGCTAACAGAAAAGTCATACAGTAAGTATTTTTGTCCAGAACAGATGCTGCTATCAAAAGGTAGCAAAAAAATGCTAAATAAGGACAACATCTACATTTAAGCGAAGTAATTGACAATTAATTAAAATTGACCCAAGAAATTAATACTTCCAGTCTTGCAATAGTGTGGCCATCTTTGTATTTATCAGTTGTTTTTTTAAAGGGTTGCGATCCCTCTAGCTTGAAGCCATGCGGTGAATTCATTTTCATCATTCAATTTCTCTCTATTTTCGCTTTTTTCATGCCCCTAAATTATGTCTCATGACAACATTAACATCAACACTTATATATCTACAAGCCATAAATAAAAAATATTTTTTTTAATTGATTTACGATACTGTTTACCTATTTTAATACCCCTATTTTTTTACCCTAAACCTATACCTGGGTCGCAATCCTGAGGCGCTGTCGAAGTCGCATGTGTTGCACCCATCTATCACGCGATGGATCCGGCCCCTGCATATCCATGTATATCGCATGTATCCGCATATCCCGTAAATCCATGGAACGCTAATAAATATGTGTACCTAAATAATATTTTATCAAAATGTCTTATAATGACTTTCAGTATAGTAGAAACAAAAGAAGGATTTTAACACCTACGCTAAATCGTGACATTACAAGAGTTAGAGCGTTTATATAGTCTATCAACCAGAATACGGTTCATTTTAATAAAAAGATGTGGAAATGTTAAAATTATTTTGAAAGTCCTACTAAAGCTAAATAAATAAAAAAGAATAAATATATGAAAATATTTTAGATATTTGTTACTCAATCATGCTCAAAGTTAGTGACTCTGATAATTGCTGGCTTATTTTATTTTATTCCACTTAATGGCTCGAATACGAATAAAGAAGAAAACAAAACCATATCCTTCAATTAAACCATTTATGTGTTTTTGAATTGTCAGGACTAGGTTTCAGTCAGAATACGTCAATCATGATGCTCCTTGCACGTTTCCATACATGCCATAGAGCAGAACAGGCAATAAATTAAATTACATCAAACCCTCTTTTATGAAATTATTTACTAGTTTCTTATATTCCTTTTGGGCCCTAATTAAATTTAAGACAACGTAACACATACTTCTAAAATACAAAAACTGTGTAAAATTTCTACTATATTTAATAAAAAGATACAGGATAAAATAGAATATATAATTAAATTTAGGAAACAATATTCGTTATTGCCCGCTTAATTAATTTATTTATATCGATATTCAAATTACAAATATCATCCAAGACATCTACAAAAGCTAGCCACGTCTCAATAGCAATTTTAAGATGGCAATGAATATATCCTCTTGATTAATGATTATTATTAAAAATCTTATTTAATTATCGTGGTCATTGATCAAGATCACGTATCGATATTAGCCAATAAATTTTCAACTAATTATACGAAAGGAGACTAAACTAAACATAATTTCAATGAAGGGTTGTTCCATATTTCTCATCTATAGGTTAAATATAGACACGAATTAATTAATTTGATGAGTTATCAGTTTTTGCAATAAATAGACAATTTATCGTATCAATCAATGCAGTTTGTACATGGTTCGCATCCAGACGTATTTTGCAGAAACCACCATATAATAGCTTATTTAAAAATTTACGTTTGTTTACAAAGTGTTTACAGAATACCAGAAACACAAATTAACCAAGAAATTAAAATATTTTAAAAAGCTTTTGAAAGCCTATTAGTACTGTTCTCGGCCTTATTTAAGTTATTTCATTTTAGATAATTACTCTACTAGATAATTACTAGTAGGCCAAAACCTGCTTTAAGGAGAGGCCTATGTCCAGCAGTGGACTATTAAAGGCTATTGATGTGTGATGTGAATTACTCTATTAATCTTTTCTTAAAAAGGTTTAATTTATAAAAAAAAAAACGATAGCAAAACACTAAAATCAAAGATAAAATGTAACAAAAATAAATAATATCCATCACATCGATTAGTATATCTTTGGATCAAAAAGTCGACGGCAGCGCTCTAAACAAATCGAAAAAAAAACAATAAACAACAGTCAGCTGTTTTCGGTACCTATAAGAATATGGCCGTTTTTAACCATTTTCTAGAGGTAATTATAGTTCATTTATTTTGGAGGGGTTCATTTCAGCTTTATTTGTACTCACCACCAAGAATCGGTGATGGGCGCGAGCAGCAGCAAGCAGGCGGCGATGACAACAGGCCGCATCTCTCGTCGGACATCACTGCCCCAAAACCCTTACCGTAACCATTTTCTGTACCGAACAACACCCAAAAAATTCCCTTACTTAAAAACTGACAGGCCCATTCCTATTCTCTAAACCGTTTTTTATTTATTTTTATTTTGTATAGAGAACAAAGTGCGTTCGATTTTTGATTTTTCTAAACAGCTCCGAAATTTCGCGGCGTGTCGCGTACGTGGATCCCTGTCGGCGGGAGAGCGCGGCGCGACTGACGCTCACCTGAGCCCACCCCGCCGCACGCGCACCGCAAAACGATTTTCGCGCTATTTTGGCTAAGATTTTTAGCAGATTAGGCTTCGCATTATTAGTGATAAAAGGTGGGGATATGAATGTGTTACAACGAGAATATCAACGATGCGTGTGGGCGATACGTTAAATTATTACTATACCTGCATTAATTAAATTAATATGTTCTTACAAATCCAGTTTTATATCGTGCATTAATGTTTCAAAAAAAAGCTTTTATCTGTCCATTTTTTTAGCCGACAGTTGCATTTTATATTGAAAAACGGATTAAACTAAGTGCATATTTTTACAGCAATGCACAGCTGTTTTTCTTTCGTTAGGGCAGCACTAATACGAACCAGACATTGCCTGATTTCGAGTGATGGACAGTGAGAAACGTTCGGTACAGTCTAATAATAGATAACACGTGCGAAACTCTAATTGTGTTAAACAAACAAACTCGTGTACCTACACCTGGCGTTTCGGAACGTTGGAATATGACATTTATATAATTTAACTAACATTTCACGAGACGAATGTTCAATAGCTAATTATCTGGTGTGTACTGATTACACACCAACTGAATGAAATTTTTAACGCAACAATTAAACTAGCAGTGTTGGCTACTTTACTTTTCCAGATCACGAGAAAAGGTCTACATGGAATTAAGGTCAATAATACCTATCTTTGATAATTTTAGCGATATAGATTCTTGTTTTATATGGTATTGGGGTGTAAACGAGCAGTCGGGACACCTGAACACCTGATGGCAAGTGAAAGCCGCTGCCCACAGACGCCTGCAACTCACAAGAAAGTCACAAGTGCGGTAACCTACCCCTCTCAAAATTAGGGACTTGGGCCTGTGGTTCTTTAACAATTTCCTCAAATACTGATTACTCATGAATCTGGCCAGACCTTATCATGACGTGAGTAATCATTTCATGTAACAAGTCGTACACAACCTCGTTCATGCTCGTCCTTAGAAGTTTACGTCGTAACCATTACTAATATTCTTTTAGTTTTATAATAAAAGTACCATAGATACTTCAAACATATATTATATTACATTATTTTTGAACCATCATCACCTCCCTGCTTTTTTCCCAAATTAATTTGGGGTCGGCACAATGAGTTTTCATCTACCATTCTCCTTAAAAACTCGATATCCCCTTTCACGCACTCATTAATTTCATTGCAAAATGGTATTGGCTTTTTTTAAATGGCCGGCCGCCTGTCTTACACCAACCGTCCTAGGAAATAATAATAATAATAAAATTTCTTTATTTCTCTTCACTATATGTAAAAGTCTTATAATTAAATACATAATCTATGTTCTCTTAAAATACACCAATGTGTGAGACTGATGTAGATTTTTAAATGAAAACCTATGTTACAGGTGACCAGGACCTCAATTCTGCTATTTTATGTTCACGCCAAGCCACTGTCATACCACTGACACGCTATTGAGATGCCATCGAGTGGCCATTGGCATCGGTATAAATATCGGTAGTTGAAATTATATTACGTTTTTTGAGGAAATGATTCATTTATTTTTATTATAATAAATTATTAAAAGAAATAAATAAATTACTAAAAAAATAAAATTATAAAAAAAGAAATAAATAAATTATTAAAAAAATATATATATTAAAAAAAATCATTTCCTTATAATTTGAAAATATATTACGTTTTTTGATTAAATATATTTTCAAATTATAAGGAAATGATTTATTTATTTTGATCTTTTTTATTTATTTCTTTTTTTTATAATTTTATTTTTTTAATAATTTATTTTAATTAATTTATTTCTTTTAATAATTTATTATAATAAAAATAAATGAATATTTCCTCAAAAAACGTAATATATTTTCAACTACCGATATTCATACCGATGCCAATAGCCACACTCGATGGCATCTGAATAGCGTGTCAGTGGTATGACAGTGGCTTGGCGTGAAAATAAAATAGCAATATTGAGGCCCAGTGCCCACCCTAGGTTATAATTAAGTAGGTACAATCTTATTTTTACCAGACTATTGGAGGGAAGGCAATTTAATCGTTCCTCGTACATAGTATTGAGCAAAAGATATTTGGGCATTCCAAAGTCCAAGTCCGAGCCCAGAGTTTTTCCTATAGTCAAACCAAACAGGTTCAGCCGTTTTCTGCAGGGGAGTCATTATCACATAATTTTGTTATTCGTTTACGTATAGGTTAAACGAGACATGAGAAATTCAAAATGATTCCTATTAACAAAGCAACATTTTATTTACTTTTACATTTTATTCACTTGTCACGCATTTTATTCACTTGTCATATATATTATTCAGTTGTCATGAATTTTATTCACTTGTCATTCAGTTTTTGACTTGCCTGTTGCATTTATTCACAATTAGTATCCTACCATTGTGATTTTACATTTATTATTTTCAACAAACTATATTATTATTATCTTGATTAGCCATATATTTATATATATATATATTCTATGGGTACTATTTGACTATATAACCTAAAATCGATTTTATAATAAAAAGCCTTTTGAGTAGAAAAGCATTTTAAAAGATATCATACCTATAGAAAGGTCTTACAACTTGTCCTCAAAAATTGAGGCCAACCCTGTATCAGTTTTTTTAAGTAAACTAAGTCTAACAGTTATATGAAGATGACCTTGGTAGAAACGGTAAGTGTCAAAACACAACACAAACACACACACACACACACACACACACACATTTTTTAACAAGCCACTTTATGGATTATTTAGCATATAAACCAAGGTCCAGCCACGTATGGAACCTGAATATCAAATTATTTTTTGAAGTCTGTTTATAATAGGATTAACCCATTGAATGTGAGTCATTATTATTTAATTTTTGTACAACTCATCTACTAGGAAAGGGTGACTAGTCCACAAATGGCTAATATTATAAACTTGTTGCAACGTCAAAACAATGTTGTGGTATATCTATCTGTTTACTAAAACAGAGTTGTCGTTAGTTTGTTTGCCCTTTCTTCTCATAAGGTTCAACCCCTTGGAAACGAGCGGTTGTAGATCGGAACAGGCATTTAATAGATTTTCGATAGGTATAGGCTGTTGATGATGATGATAATTTTATTTTATTTATTTGCTAAATATTTGACAAAACAGAGATTGTTGCTATTGTCTGTGTTGGTCTATGACTATAGAGTCTATATAAAAGATGATTTCAAACAATTTTTTTTTCATGAAGTAAAGATATTTTAAGTTTGAGTTGTTGTCTTTTAAAGAAAGAAATATTTATCTTTCAATGAACTTTACTTCCGTAGCAGTTTTTAATTTTATACATTGTATATTAAAGTTTATTTATTGGATAATATGAAAAGCTAAGAAAGTTACTCTATAGTTATGTAATTAATAGTAAAAATTAAAAAAATATTATTGATTGAATAATTAATTATTAATTTACTGACAAAGACGAAGCGACTACCATCAGACCATATAAACAGCGCTAATCTCCCAATTGCACTGAAGGAAAAAAGCGTCTGTAGAACAGTGCCCCGAGCACGAACAACTTGCGAAAAAGTATTCGTATCGTCTTCGACAAAATTTGTATGACATTTGTGCAGCGCCCCTATCCAGCGTAAAAGTAACTAATTTTGGCAGCACGAACGTTTCGAATTTACTTTCGTATCGTTAACGTATCGTCAAGCATTCGATACGTTACACTTTATAAAGAAAATTGGCAGCACGAATGAAATTTTGACGTACGTTCGAAGGCTGGCCATCGAGCACCTGTCAAACTTAGTCGAATGTTTATTCACCTAAGATTTAGCCGTGAGAAAAGTTTCAAACAATCAATTTCTTTTAAAACTATTATTTTCAAGTATTAACGGTTATTTTTTGTACAGATAAAATGCAAAGACCGTTTAGTCCTATGTATGTTCTTGTCGCAAGTTTAATTGAAAATAAAGGTATTCAACAACTAGATTCGAGGTGAGCAAATCTTGTTTTATCTATAAAGTGTAAACTAAATATTTGTCAGAAACATTTGAAGAAACTTCTACTATATTAATAAAATGTAGTATACTTAGTATGTACCTATATATCTTTTAATCTAATTAATTATTTTTTAGTGAAATAAGGCGAAGAGAAAAACAAAGAAAGATAAAAGTGAAGAAAAATCTGTCTGTTTGTAATACAAAATAATAGGTTTTTTCATGCTCACACGGTTTTTTGCAAGATACCTATGCCTAATACCAGGTAGCTGTCTATATAAGGAGTAATTTAGGCTAAAAAAAAATTGCCCGGTCCGGGAATCGAACCCACTAAGGTAGCGCTTTTCAAATTCTACGCAAACGATGTTTCGGGCACCAGCTAGTCCTTTAAATTTAAATGACAACGAATTTCAAAATATATCGCTTTAAGCTAAGAGTGAGAACTAGTTTGACTTAACCAACGAAATAACTAAAAATGGTTATTTCGTTGCGTTGTATGCCGTGGAAGTGGGTGCGAAGGGTATAAGAGCTAAATCCCTCTATAACCTGTTTAATGACCTTGGATTGCTTAGTAAGCTTTTTCCTCGAACAAATATCCATAGCGTCATTGCTAGGCTCGTACCAAATTAGGTTAGATAGAGGGGGTTACCCAGTAGACAGGGATGAAAGGTATATAGTAAAAATGAGCTAGTATGAATATTTTTTATTTACCATTATTTTAAAATGAATTATACAGAGTTGGTTTTCATACATTACATACACATGT